TTTGGAAATGTCACAGCACTTAGATTTTTTTAAAGTCTATATCTCCGTTTGACTACATCTAAAATTTGGCTAGTAAGGCTGAGTAAAACGCATTCCTTAGATTTGGGGCTTTGAACCAGCTTTGCCTTTTAGCCAATTTGGCAGCAAGTGGGTTAGCCTTTTGCCTCTGACTCAGAATTGTAATGGAAATTTTGACCTCACTTCAAGCAAGAAGGAGAGGAGGGGGTCTTAAGACTGAGGTGTCCCCACCCTAAACACAGCCACAGGGTTTCCGGTGCTCCCGGGTGGGAGCCCCATGGCAGCCTGACTTGTCGCCAGGGGACAGGAAGACCTGGGCTGTTCTGGGGGTGAAAGATGGTGGCTCCTGCTTGACTGACCGCTCCTTGCCCCCAGGAAGAGCCAAAAGCAGAGAGAAGGAAGCAAACAGAGCCTCTGATCAGAACCTGGATCTGGAGGGGAAACCATTCAGGAACAGAGCTGAGGTTTGGAGGCAGTCTTACTCACACACCAGTTTCTTTCACACACATCCTCGCTTTCTCTCCCCAGAGCCATCCAGCCCGTGAACCCTTTCCTGCTTATTCTGGGCACCCCTGGGGGAGCACCGTCGATGCCAGACGCAGGCTTGGCAGAGTGAGGCGCAAGGTGGGCAGGTGGGGCAGCCCTGGAGCTCAGCTTGGAGGGGCCTTCACCACCCAACTCCGCACCCCCTCCTAAGATGACTGTTTGGAGCAGATGGGTCCCAAGGAGAACAGGTCCTTACCTAAATAGACTGCAGATGGATGAAGAGAATGATATGTAGCTGAATCATAGGAAATTGCCAATTATCTACACAGATAAACAGGAATTTAGACATGATGGGTGGAGAGCAATGTACACCTAGGTAGACATCATAGCAGGTAGAAATAGAAGTGACAAGTTATGGACGTACAGATCAATCACAATATTTATTTTAACAATACGTCAGTTATTTGAGGCACATATGCACCTCTTTCTAGTAGGAAAGGATGGTCCGAGGGAGACTAAGGACAAAAGAACGGGCCGGACAGAAATCTCTGGGAGCAGTACCAGCACAGGTAAACTCAACCCAAGCCACAAACCCTATTCCTAACCTGCTCTTGCCCCAACAATTACAGTAAAATCCCCAGCAGAACGGAGCTGTTGGAAATTGAAATATATGAAATTCTCTATACCACTTAGGTACAAATAAGCGATTTTATTTTAAAATAACCTCTAAGTACAACTTAGGATCCTGTAAAACAGCTCAGAAACTATGGTTTATAAACTTGCTTGAGCTAATCTGCCCCTATGGACTCACAGCTGTTATTTATCACTTTCTTCCAAACTGAAATATAAATATTCCAGACCATTAGTTACAATGTATAAGCAATTGATCACAGTCCTCTCTTACAGAGTTTCCCCTAAGCACTATGTAAACATAGTATGACCGGAATAAAAACACAAAGGAATTTCTTTTTGGTCAATGGTTCCTAATGATGTATGGTAGGTATTATACCAAATCAATTCACTCTCTTTCCATATCTAGTTTCTACAATTTATTACTCAGGACAAACATGAAAGATAGCCCATACTTTCAAGAATCCTAGACCACGCAACTTTTAGAAATGGTTTACCATCTTCATCTTAAGCGGTTTTGATTTCAAAGTTGATTGCCGCAGAGCTGTGGCTCTGAGATCCAATCTGTATCAATTGAAACAACATTTGCAGTCATGCTCCATCACAACCAACCTCCATGTCCACACACGGTGCTACTCTTGAGGGCTGGGAGGAGTGGGTTTCTTTACAGACTCTTTGGAACAGCATTTATGGACTATAATGAATTTTTAATGTATACTCTGAACTTGATCAGACTTAATGATTTTCCTTAGGTGGATAATCGGGTCCTTGAATTCTCTTTCCAAGCCAGATTTCCCAGCACCAGCTGCCATATGGGTGCTCAAGAACCTTAACAGAAAGATGAAGGAGGGAAAAGTGACTCCAACTGCAATTCTGGAGAAGAAAGTGCCACCACCACTTTCTCCCACCAATCCACAAGGAAACAAACAAACTACCAGAGTTTCACAAACAGATCCACTCCAAATATCTGTATTTCCTTTGCTGTGAAGGTAACGTAATTTTTTAAACTGTTAAATTGTGGAGTAGAGGACACATACAAAGGAGAACCCAAAACAAAAAGTAAGAGGACAATGGTATCTCAAGATCAGTACTTACATCACCACCACTCTGGCCAATAAACAGACATCGCCAGCACCCCGAAAGATCTTCCCCACAAACACCATGAACCCCTTCTTTCCCCTACCCCGCCCTCAATATTCTGTCAACAGAAATCACCACCTGCTTCTCTTTATATTTCTTCCACCTAAGTACTCAGTGTCCCCCTGAACGCTATGGTTTATTTTTGCATCTTTTAACTTCACGGAAATGGAATCACACAATACCTTCTCTTTTGTGACTGGCTAATTTGACTCAGTTTTGCACTTGAGTATCTGCAGGCCATGTTATTGTATATATTTTTAGTTCGTATCTGCAGAGTATGCCATTATGTGACTAGACCACAATTTATTTATACCTCCCGCTGTTGGTAGGCATTGGGTTGTTTCAGTTTAGGTCTGTTACAAATGAGGGGACACAAGTGCAAGTGTCTCTGTTGTCCATGTACCTCAAAGTTGAACTGCTGTCCCATTAGGAGTGTCAGCTTTCGTGGGCAGGGCCACACTATTTGCCAGCGTGGTGGCAACAGTTTAGACTTGCTCACAAGTGTGTGTGCGCTCCCGTCGCTCCACATCTTCACTAACATTTGTTATCGTTAGGTTTTTTCCTGCTGTATCTCATCATGCTTTTTATTTGAATTTCCCTGTTTACTAATGTGGCTGAGCAGCTTTTCGCCTGTTTATGGGTCATTTGGAAAACCTGTTTTGTAAGTGTCTGTTGGAGTCTCTTGCCCATGTTCTTTTGCTTGTTGGTTGCATTTTCTCCTGCTCTGTGACTTTTTTTATCCTTTTAATAGTGTCTTTTGATAAAAAAGAAATTCTTAATTTTAACATTGTCAAATGCATGATTCTTTTCTGTATGGCTGGTATTCCTGTATCCTGTTAAAGAAATCTTTCCCTACTGGGAGATCATGAACATAGTCTCCTATATTACATGTTAGAAGCTTTACTGGGCCTCGGTCAAGATGTCCTGGGTAACCCCGGTTTTAAACCCATCAAGAAGGAATATGGGTCTTATTGCTTCCCTCCCAGAATGCTCCTGGGCTTCTTATGCAAATTTGCTCCCTGGGGTGGGGGATGGGGTGGGGGGCAGCAACCTTCAGCCTTGAAGCAACCTTCAAGGTCCATGTCTCAGCACTTTCACAGTGCACACAACCTATGGAGACTCTCTCCCCTCTTTCCCTCCCCCACAAACTCCCAACTCCCAGGCCTTGCTTTTTTCCCTCCAGTAGCTCCCAGCCTCCCTCACATGGCGCATCCTGTCTCCTTCTCTTGCTTAATCATTGCGCATCTCCACCTTTTACCCTCATGGGACAGCAGTGGCCCCATAGCCAAACAACAAGATCCTTCCTTCTTTTTTGGGGGGGGGGTGGGGAGGTAGGTAATTAGGTTAATTAATTAATTAATTTTTTTTTAATGGAGGTACTGGGGTTTGAACCCAGGACCTCAGGCATGCTGAGCATGTGCTCTACCATTTGAGCTATACCCTCCCCTCAAGATCCTTCGTTCTTGAGAGAGAGAAGGAGGGAGTTACTCCTCCTATGGTTCTACTGTTCGGGACCTGACTTGGCTGTCACATCCAATCCCAGGAGGGCCATTGTTCTTGCTTCTTTAAATCATGGGAACAGAGGGTTCAATTCACTTTGGCACTGTCATTAGCTTTCCTCCAATCCAACCTCAAGAGCTCTTGACTACTGAAGGGGGATTACAAAAGTGAAGCTATAATGATTTTATTTAGTTTGTTAGTTATTATGGAGGTATAGTCATAAACATTTTTATGTGATAAAAATTAAGAAACAAATAAATAAGGAAGATATAGCTCAGAGGTAGAGTGCATGCTTAACATGCACAAGGTCCTGGATTTAATCCCCGGTACCTCCATTAAAAACAAAGAAACAAACAAACAAATAAATAAATAAATAAAAACCTAATTACCCCCCAAAAAAAGAAAAAATAAATACATTGAAGTGCTGTGTCTTTGAGAACACAACACGCCCAAGAACCGGTACATTGCAATGGTGGTCAAGGCCTTTGACTTTTACAAAAATACAAGGTGGCAGGAGACAGTCTGGTAGCAAATGAGATGTAGCACACTTAGCAGAGACATGCATACCCCACATCTGTGCCTGCATCTGTGGTCACAAGTAGTGGTGGCACCAGCGGGAGTTCCTAATCCAGGTTATTTCCAAGGCTTCCAGCAGGAAGCGGGGAGGGAGACATTCAGGAGGAGATGAGTCTCCTCTTACAGTCACTGGCCTTCTGAGGGCTGTGTTCTTGGGCATGTGCATAGGCAATTGGAAGTGTCATCTCATTACCACGTCCCTAATTCTCCAGGCAGAGATGTTCTCTTTTCTGGCATCTCAGGATGCTCAAGGGCTGGTGACAAACATAGGGGAAGGATCATCTGAGGAAGGGGACGGTGGTGAGGAAAGGGACCACTGATACACGGATGTCACTTGCAGGCAAAGCAGCTGCTCATATTTACCAGCTTCACAAGGAAGCTGAGATTAGGAGTTTCACAACAAGTTCATTGCCAGTAAAGAAAAAAATAAAATCAAACACAGATTTCAGGTCTGCAACTGCTCAGCAGCAACTGTCCCATCACCTGCGTGCCTTACACTAGATCTGTCCTAGAAATTCGCCTATAACACCTCCTAGAGGCCTGGCCTTCATTCTCCTACCTAAGCACCATCTGGTTCCCAGGGTGACATGTGGTACCTACACCCAAAGTGACAGCCTCCAGTCCTGGTGGTGGACATCAGAGCTTAAGGGTCAGCCAGCCACCACCATGTTCTCCCCAGTGCTGTAGATGGCAACTGGAGGGCACAGGAAGGACAGAGTCCCCACGGTCCTCTGCAGGAAAGGAGGACAGAGCTATGGTCTCAGCCCGTGTGCTAGTGAACTCTGACCTTTGGTCCTGACCTTGCTGGAGGGCCCACCTCCACCCCTAGTTCCCACCTCCCAGGCCCCTCCTGTCCTCCAGATCTCAGCTCCTGGACTGTGCCACTCCAGACTTGGTGAGAGGAATTGCCATTAAGTCAGCATGTAGAGTCCTGGCTCCTCTGGGGAGACCACCCCTGTCATCTACAGAGATTTTTTTTAAAAAAACAGTTTGCACAGCAAACCTGAAAAAATTCAGAGTATCGGCGCTAGATAGGGTTGTTAAGGGCCAGAGAGAGGCTGTTCTTGGCAGATGTGTGCCTTTGTGGGAAGATGATCTTGCTTGGGGCCAGAGCTGGATCTTCTCACAGAGGACAGAGCCCTGATTCTGCTACAGAGGAGCGAGGAGTGGCTAGTCTCAGAGCTCTGAGTGGCTTGCGGGGCTGGGAAAGCACAGGGCGGCTGGCGTGGGAGCAGCTGGCAGCTGCTGGATCCTCACCACTTGTCTGAAGTCAGTCTTGATGAGTCCTGGAGACACATTATGCATCCGGGTGCCCAGGGTGCCAGCTACGGACAGCCAAGGGCTTGGCAAGTCCCAGCAGGGCTGTTTGCTGGTGGGAGAGGTCCAGCATCTAAGAAGGAAAAAGAAACAGGAAGAGTACCCTGCCGGTGAGGGGAGGGGCTCTTGTTAGACCTCCAGGGCTGTGGAGGATGAATCTACTCGCTCTTAGATCCAACTCAAAAAACTCAGATGCTCGTCCCACTCTACCCCCGGGAATCACCAAGGAACAAAGTCGGAGCAGAAGCAGGAGGAAGCCTGGACTTAAAGAAAAGTCGAGAAGGCAAAGGCTATGTTTACCTATCCTCGACCCAGAGGTAAGAGTTTAGGTGCAAGGTCAAGGAACTGGACTAAAGAGACCCAAGGCCAGATCCCTGCTCTACCATGAACTGACTGACCTTGGGCAAGTCATTTAGGATCTCTAGGTCTCAATTTCCTCATCTGCCATATGGTTTATAAACTCTGCCTGGTGATGTCACAGGAAAGCCACATAGGAACACCGATAGTCTATACTGCCCCCTGGTGTGAGTTTTAAAAAGAACTCTCCTTTGAGCCCAGTCAACCCTGCTGCTTCCTGCTTGGCTTGGTGAATGCATGTTAAAGACACCCCCTTTCTCCAGGAGAATAGAGTGCCTTGCCAGGGTGCATGCCTTAGCAAGCAGAGCATGGACTGGATTTCAGCTCCCATTGTCCCTGGACCTGGTGCCTTTGCACAGGGAACAACCTGTGCAACCAGACAGGGCAGCCCTAACGTTGTGGGGGTTAGATGAGACAAAGACAATGATTTTAAATCAAGAGTGTGATTTTAAATGTGGACCAGGTGTTCAATGCTGCACACTTGGATTTTTTTATCACATGGGATCAACATTCACTTCCCTGACACCGTGGCCTCTTCTCCACTGCCCCATTCTGCAGCTCCCCACTCACTGTGTGAGGTGCATAGCGGCAATGAACACCGCAGAGACTCCCCTGTGAGGAGATGGGCAGGTGTGGTGAGGTGAGAGGTGAGCATAGCTGAGAAGCCAGATGCTCCCAGAAAAAGGGTTTCTGATGAGGACACAGAACTGAGGTATAAGGAGAAGAAGGAAAAGTGGAGATGGTGCCAAGGTCTCTGGGGAGAAGTGAATACTTAGGGGGATGTGGGAGCCGGGAGGGTGCTGACACAGCCTCCCCTGCCTGCTGGGAAAGTCCAGGATCCCTGGAACTGGTCCCAGGGGCAGGGCCAATCAGGAGCTAGATCTCTGGAGGACAGAGCTGGAAACCTGGAGTCAGTGTGAGGTCAGTGCAGCCCCAGGGACGGACACTCCCATAGGAGCAAAATGCGTTTAGAGTCACCTGAGTTCCAAATCTGGTACTGTTTCTGATTCAGACAAGAAGAGGTGAAAAACAAAAGGAGGAGAAGCTTGGCTCCAGATGCCCCAAGGGCAGGCAGGGGAGGGGGGCAGGGGGCTTCTTCTGGGCTTTTTGCGAGGGTTTGGCTCTCCGGGTTACACCGCCAGACCCTGTGCCCTGCAGCTGCCCTGCCATTCTCAGAGGACAAAGCTTATCAGGGGTGATCCAGGCTCCTCGGTGGGTTTGGAATTTGCCGGCCATATTCCCTCCAAATGATCCCTTTCACTGCATTGGCCACATCCCCTGGGGACCAAATACCCAGCAGTTGTGGGTCAAGAGGCCACCAGGGGACAGATCCTGGCATTTCGAGGACATTCCTTCTATCTGCTCTCCTTGGGATGTTCCACGTTAGGCTCCCTCGCCAATTGTCCCCCTGGCGTAGAGGAGAGCAAGGCAGAGTCTCCCGACTTCTGGGCCCTCCCTCCCCTCCCCCTTCCTCCGGTGAGGGGCAGCAGCTGGCTCAGCAGCGCAGCTGGACCTCACATTCACATCCAGCATCTGAAATCAGAACAGGGCAGAGAAGCAGCCACCTCTGCTCCCTGAAGTCCCCTGGGGAGGAGCTGGGGGTGTGCACGCTTCTCCCAGAGTGTCGAGGAGGGATCTGAGGGACCTGCCCCCACCCCCCACCAGGAGCACTTGGCTTGTGAACTCCTCACTGTCAGTGCTGTACAGACTCTCCTCAGGGCACATCACCCTCCAGAAAACCAAGTCAGTGAAAATAGTAGCAGGGAAAGACATTAGGAAAGCTGGGGGATCAGTGCCTGCTTTAACGAGGAGAGGTGAGACTCGCGCAGTGTAAACACCAGTGCTGTTTCAGGGACAGATGCTGAAATTCGAGTTTCCTATAAGAGCCGGAGGCTGGACAAAGGAGGAAGGGAGAGGAGCTTGGCCAGGAAGGCCAGGAAATGTAAGAACCAAAGACAGAAAGTGGGGCAGGGTCTGCAAGGAGAGAAAGGAGTGGGTGATCAGCGGAAGAAGATCAGAGGAGGGAGAGAACAACTCACCCTGACCACGAGACCCATCTTTGTCCTCCTGGGACGGGGGTCAGGACTGTGCCCTCAGAGGCAGCAGGAGCCCCTGTAATGCTTGGCGGATTCCAGCTGAATCAAATTTCTGGGCAGCGGTCCCTTTCCTCAGCTGTGTCTGTGGACAGGTGAAGTGTCCCTGGGACAGCCGGACTGAAGGGATCAGAGTGGGTGCCAGTGAGTCCAGACTGAGACAGCCTCAGGCTTCTGAGCCAGGAGACAGGATCTGGCCCCGAGCTGGGTGTGTCTCTGCACATCTGGGGCTTGGAGCAGGGCTGAAGTAGAGACATCTGCAACACCACTGGCCACCCAGAATGATCCAGTTGTGCTCTACCCAATGGAACACACGCAGGTGTGTGAGTAGAGGTGAGAAACCAAGAGAACCTCACAGCTCCCTGCTCCCTGGGCCTCACCTTGTCCCCCACCTGCTCACTGGTCCCCAGGGAGCTCCCCTCCTGGGGGCTGACCGCAGCACTGCCCACCAGGAAGCTGATGCCCCCACAGGACTCGAGAGCTGGGGGGGCAGACAGAGACAGCACAGAGGGTGAGGAAAAGATGAAACTGTGGATGGGAAACCTCCTGACTTCCTCCACAGTCATCTGGGAGGGCTTGGCTGATCCAGATGGATCCTGGAACACTGACCATTTGCTGCCAGCTTCACTGCGGCCTCAATGCTCGATTTCTTTCACCCTAAGACCCTCTGGGAGAAAACTGGGTAGTGCCTAAGTTACAACCCTGCACTTGACCTGAACTCAGAGCTCCCAGTCCTTCTGGGCTCCCCTTTCTCTCTTTATACTTCCAGGCAGACGCCTCTTCTGAGCGTGCCTGTTTCTGGAAGTCTTCCCTCTTTAAATCCCGTAAGCCTGGAGTCTCTTCCCTGGAAAACCTATCAGATTCCCACCCTCCTTAAGTCTCTTCAAAAACGCCCTTTTCCCCATGAGCCTCCGTGAGCAGCACCCACTCGCACAGGGACCATGATGGGCTCCTCCACCTGGCACCTCCCGCGCTCCTGTCCACAGAGCCGCCCCTGCCGGGGGCATCATCCCAGCTTCATCGGGCTTCGGGCATCGGTTCCCTGCAAGGCCCTGCCAGTTGCAGAGCCACAGTCCTGGTTAAGAATGTGGGTTTTGGAGTGAGGCAGACCTCTGTTCAGAATCGTCCCTACCGCTTAACCTCTCTAGGTCTGTTTCCCACCATAAAGCTGTTATAACAACATTGAGCGCCTCACATGCTAATGTGATGGGGTGTTGGTATAGGTTTGGCACATAGGAAATAGACCAAATTATGTCAAGGAAAGGAGTATTTTGACTTGAAACCTTCCTTCCCTAGGCTGGGTCTGTGTGTTCTGATCTCTGAACCTGTGACACCCCCATCTGGTGGCCCTTCACCATGGCCACCAGCCGCTCCTGGTCCTCAGCCTTCCCCACGTGGCACACGGTGCTGGTCATGCTCAGACCCTCTGCCCGCAGCACCGCCACCGCTGGTCCATGTTCTGCTGACCATCATGTGGGCCCCGTCCTGGGCCAGACGCCAGGGGCTGGTGAAGCCGATCCTGCGGCGGAGATAGTTGTCGTGGCTTCAGCCCTTCCCCGTCCTTTCTCCTGGGAGCCTGATCATGAGACATAAAATGCCCTCCCCAGCGTCCTAGCCTCCAAATCTGTCTGAGCAGAAAAGAGAAGTTAACTTTGACTAAGTAGATATTACCATATCAAACTTCCAGGCTACAAAGTGTTTTACCATAGAGCGTATGAAGTGTTTTGAAATCCATGTTTTCTGTTTTGTTTTTACCCTTAATATTATATCCTGAGCAGTCTTCATGGCATTAAATAGTATTTAAAAATGTGATTTTCAGAAGATGTATATGCCACCTCATAGATGGTCTACAGTTAATTAACATTTCCTGTTGAATTATTTATGATGTTTTCAGTTTTTCCTTATTATGTATAATACAGTGTTCATTCTTGTTGATAAAGCTCTGCTTCTCCACCTGATTACATCTTTAGGCTAAAGGCAGATAAGCAGAATTGCTAGGAGACAGATATGAATATTTCGAAGTCTTAATGCAGCTGTCAAACTGCTTTTCGAAAGTCTGTACAATTTGGCCTTCCTGACAACAATGTATAAGGGCCCATTTCCTTCACTACTGGTAAGATGGTTATTTAAATTTTGCTTGTTTGGGTAATAATGAGTATAGAAATTCAAAGAGAGTAAGCAAACCCAGTATGGTCACGTCTGGGTTATGCAGCCTGGCAAAAGTCATCAGGTTGCCATGGTATTTGGGGCATAAAAGTTCATGACTTCTTTATCTTCTTCAGGAATTATAAACTTTTATCAGTTGAAGCATCTGTGATTAAACACATTGTCTTCTAGCATCCATTATTCTTGACAAGAAATCTGATGCCAATCTAATTCTTATTCTTTTTTTATATTACCTACTTTTCTTTCTGCGCAATAAATGGATGAAAAGTTAGATAAATTATAGCACAGCCATTCAATAGATTATTATGCAGCTTTTCAAAAGAATGAATCATGCATGTGTTATTTACTTGAATGAATGGCTCTTCTATATTATCAAGTGAGAAAAGCAAATTGCAGAGAAATATATACCATTTTTATAAAAACAAACATGAACAACAAAACTCTATATATTTGTAATCATATTTTGTATATATATTTGAGTATAGAGAAAGGAACAAAAAGGGAGAAACCAGGCAGTTAGTTTTAGATTCTTTTTTATTTAGGAGAAATGGTGAAGTTATGGGTACTTAAAAATATTATTGCCTATTTGTTTAAATTTGAATTTTCTTTACTAGTGGAGATTAGGTATCTTTTCATGTTTATTGATCATTTATTTGATTATATTCTTCTGTAAATTTTCTATTCATATTTTTCCTATTACTCTATTGGACTATTGGGGGTTTGGGGGGAAATCAGTTACAGTAATACTTTGTATATTATCCATCATATGTGTTGTACATATTTGCTCCAAGTCTATCATTTGTCTTTGACTTTGTTTATAGTGTATTTTGCTATGCAAAAATGTGAAATTGCTATGAAGCCAAATATATTTATCTTTTCCATTTATCTTTCTCATAAATAAGCTCTGGGTTTCATGTCATGTTTAAGAATATCTCATCCACTTTAAGGTTATGTCTAAACATTATTCTAAATTTTAATGTTGTCTACATTTAGATCTTTAAATTTTATGGGTTATGTATATATAGCCCTCAACACATGAGTCAGAGAGCTGCTGTGAAGATTCTTCAAGTTGCTAATTATGTCTACTGCAATTATCCATTTGGGAACTGTTAGGAGTAATAACAGAGTGGGTCTCTGGACCAACTAGACCGACTATGGGTCACACTTGAGCTCAGACTCCACTGGTCACCTGAGCATAAGAAGCCCCTAATTTAACCAGTGGGAACAGTGATGTTTTGTGTCCCTAGGAATTAGCATCAATTCAGAACTAATGTCTAGTAATCCCTGAAATGTCCGGGTAGTGTCTTTCTCCAATGAACAGTAACCCAGAACATGATCACAAGTACTTTGAGGGAAGAAGATTTATGGTATGTATATGTGGAAATGATGGTATGTATTTTGGGAAATGCAGAGCTATTCTTCAAGGGGATGCAGCGCACACACCCCGCCCCCACAGCAAAGGATCTATATATTGACTTAGATCTGGAAACTGGATAAGAGGTCATGACTCTCCACTGTGGTAACTTAAGTCAGGTTTTTCACTACTAGGCTTAGAGTTTGGCCTATTATATAGATCAAACAATCCTCTGATAAGATGTTCATCTACTCTGTTCCTATGAACACTGTGATCCGTTAGTCCCTGCCAAAATCACCACGAGCCAAGGCATTCTGATTATTGGTATATTCCTGTTGATCTTTACCATAGATACGCTTACGTTGTTTTTTGAAAATTAGACAGTAGAAGACATAGGGAGCAGCCACTGCCCCAGGCCTGAAGCAGAGCCCCCAAGGAAGGAAGAAATCTAAAAAAAAAGTCCCTTTCCCCAGGACTTTGATCCAGACATGGTTGAAGAGAGCATGGCTATGCCTCACTGGATGAGAGAAGTCTGCAGAGGTACCATGCCAAGAATTACTGGAAAGTCACCTTCTGGGGTGCCAGGGGGAGCCCTCTCAGGAAGCTTCTGAGCTTCAGAACTCATTGCAAAGCTGTCAAGGAAGTGCTGGTGGAAACCACACATGCAGAGGTGCCATACTGCCGGATCTCACAGGGAAGACACTTTTGGGGGCCCTGGGAGAAACTGTGGGGTAAAGGGCTGTGCTATGAGAGCCTGCTGGGACAGGAAGAAATACTCCTTCCTCCTCCAGTGGCAATCCAGTGCCCTAGGATGAAGTTTAACAGTATGACAGCTGGCAAAGTGGCAGTGTTTCAGCATTTGTAACTGACACAATCAGCCAATGACCTCTATCTCCTTCGATCACTTCATTGTTATGTGGATGGTTTTTGTGCTTCTATACTGTTATCTCAATGACATCTCAAGAGGGACTAAAGACAAACATGTGTCCTCAGCCTGTCATCTTGAACAGGAGGCTTCATTTTTTTCCCCTTCTTTGTTGAAGTATAGTTGATTTACAATGTTGTGTTAGTTTCTAGTGTACAGCAAAGTGATTCAGTTATACATATTTTTTTTCAGATTCATTTCGATTAGGGTTTATTACAAGATACTGAATATAGTTCCCTGTGCTATTAAAGTAGAGTTGGGAAAATACGAAGCACTGATAGCAACATGGTTTTTGAAACTAGGTCGCTTGAATTTTAAGCCCATCACCACTGGCTGAATGGCCAAGTCATTGAGCTTAAAACTCAGGTAGCCTAACTTCAAAAGCCATGCTTCTGTATCAAATTTCCCTACATCTGAAATGAAAATAATGCTTTCCTGACAACGTGACTGAATTGACTAAGTGATCTAATCGTGTGAAAGGGCCTAGCAGAGTGACTGACAATGGATAGTGTTCAACAAAGCTTGAGGGAGTGAATGGCAATCAGTATGTGATATTTCCCCTTCCCTTCCATCTTCCTGACGGATGTGACTGGAATGGCTGGCAGGCAGTCGACAGATGCCAAAAATTGGTTTTCTTTTTATCATTTTTAAAAAATTATTGAGCATTTAATATGCAGCAAGTGACATGCCAAGCCCTGAGAAGACACAGATAAATAAATCAAGGTCTCTTCCCTTAAGGAACTCACATCTAATGGATGAGACTGATAAGTAAATACATATTTCAACAGGGTGTGGTATTGCTATGATAGAGACAAATGTAAGGTGTAATTACAAGATGAAGGAAAGGTTACCAACCCAAACGGGGGTGATCTGGAAAATTAACCATAGATTGTATTTGTAAGGATAAATAAGTCAGCAAGATAAAGAAGGATACAGTTTCAAAGCACAGGGGGGCATATATGCAAATGCAAAGGGTAGGAGAAAGCAAGGCACATTTGGGAAAGTCCAAATATTTAGCTAGGTAAAAACATAGTAAGAGAGTTAAAAGAGTGAAGAATAAAGGTGGAAATGTAGGGCAAGCAATGGGATTTGTAGCAGGAAAGTGATAGTCTTCAGTTTGCTTTTAGAAGAAACATTTTGCCACATTTGGAGAAAGGATTAACGGATAGGAAGCAGATATAGACTCACGGACATAGAAAACAAACTATGGTTACCAAAGGGTAAGAGGAAGGAGAGGTAAATTAGGAGTTTGGGATTAACAGATACACACCACTATGTATAAAATAGATGAACAACAAAGGCTTACTGTATAGCACAGGGAACTATATTCAATTTCTTGTAATAAGCTATAATGGAAAAGAAAATATATGTATATATATATATGTATGTGTATGTATAACTGAATCACTTTGCTGTACACCTGAAACTAACATTTTAAATCAACTACACTTCAATAAAAAATAAAATTAATTAAAAAAGAAATTTAGACATTTCCATAAAATGTAACAAAGAAAAAAAAAGGAAGAAGAAAAGAAATGAGCCTGGAATTAAGGAGAACATTAGAAAGTTGCAGCAGCATCTGAGTGAGAAATTACAAGGGCCTGCATCAGGGCCTTTACCATCAAGACTCCATTCCCCCTGAGGTCTAGGGATGGTTGCTCCAGGAGTCGTGCAATGCAGAGCCTAGAGTCCTGGACCCAACGGAGGCAAAAGCAGTACAGGCTTGAGAAACATCATTGTGAAATTGATTAAATATAATTGACAGAATTTGCTGAGAGAGTAAAGAAGAGGAGGAGTCAGCAATGATACTCAGATTTCTAACAAAGGCAAATGCTTGAATGTGGTCCCAGTCACAGTGATTGGAACCCTAGGAGAAGGGCATAGTTGGGCAGATGAACAATGAGATTAGATTTGAGAGAAGCACATCTGAGAAGAGATATCCCGCTGGGCTGTGGATTATAC